GTGTGTGTGCTGGATGGTGGGTGTTTGTGTGTGTGCTGGTTGATGGGTGTTTGTGTGTGTGCGGGATGGTGGGTGTGTGTGCTGGATGATGTGTGTGTGTGTGTGGGATGATGTGTGTGTGCTGGATGATGTGTGTGAGTGCTGGATGATGTGTGTGTGAGTGCTGGATGATGTGTGTGTGAGTGCTGGATGATGGGTGTTTGTGTGAGTGCTGGATGATGTGTGTGAGTGCTGGATGATGTGTGTGTGAGTGCTGGATGATGTGTGTGTGAGTGCTGGATGATGTGTGTGTGAGTGCTGGATGATCGGTGTGTGAGTGCTGGATGATGGGTGTTTGTGTGAGTGCTGGATGATGTGTGTGTTTGTGTGAGTGCTGGATGATGGGTGTGTGAGGTGATGGATGATGTGTGTGTGTGTGTGCTGGATGATGTGTGTGTGTGAGTGATGGAGGATTTGTGTGTGAGTGATGGATGATTTGTGTGTGTGTGCTGGATGATGGGTGTGTGAGTGATGGATGATGTGTGTGTGTGTGCGCTGGATGATGGGTGTGTGTGTGCTGGATGATGTGTGTGTGTGTGCTGGATGATGGGTATGTGTGTGCTGGATGATGGGTGTGTGTGTGCTGGATGATGTGGGCGGGGGGGAGCATTTTTTTTACTTTATGTGTTTATTTATTTTATTCCCCCCTCCCTGCTTCTTACCTTGTCAGGGAGGGGGGAGATCGCCTGGTGGTCCGGTGGAGGGAACCAGCCGCTGCACACAGGGGCCATCACACGCTGTGTTACCTCTCCAGCTCTAACTCTCGCGAGACTCGCCTGTGAAGAGCGTTGCCATGGTAACAGCCGCGGGTCTCGCGAGAGTTATAGCTGGAGAGAGAACACAGCGTGTGCTGGCCCCTCTGTGCAGGTAGCAGGGCCGGTCCTGCAGGACAGGTAACGGGAACGGCGTTCCTGCTATGGAAAAAGTGCAGGAACGCCGTTCCCATGCGTTCCTGCAGGACTCGAGCCCTGATCACTCCAACCTGACAACGCAGCCCGGCAACATCTCTCTGATCTTACTTGTATGATGTCTTCTCACCTGAACCAGCAGATGGCACTAACACATCGTCTGAGAGCAATGCAATTTATCCTAGGTAATTGACAGAAAAACACATCCAGTCACAGGATTTTGGAGTGTAAATATTTACAGGGCAGGGTGGCAGCTTTTTGACTGGGGGGTTAAATGAATCTTACTAGCATGGAGACTAAGCCAACATTATCCTTTACCCTGTATGCATAGTCAGAGCTCCACTGGGGAACTGAGAAAGCTCTAATGCTGCAGAACCTGCTGGGAAACAGACAAGGGAATTAGTTCATGTAATCATGTCCAATAACAGGTGACAGACAAGTGCAAGGCTGTACTGGCCCACCAGGATACCAGCAAATTTCCCAGTGGGCTGTGGCACCTGGGCAGCCCTAAGTCCATTTACATGATTTTTTTCCCCTTGGACAGTCACAATCCAAAGGAATTAGGGAGGGAGGTGCTGGAGGCTGGCGCGGCTGCATTAAAGAGACAATATAGTTACCAAAACAACATTAACTTAATAAAGCAGTCTTGGTATATAAATCATGTCCCTGCAGACATTCACTGCCATTTAGGAGTTAAATCACTTTTGTTTATGCAGCCCTAGTCACACCTCCCTGAATGGGACCTGCACAGCTTTCCTAAACACTTCCTGTAAAGAGATTTAATGTTTACACTTGCTTATTTGTACAGTCTGTTTAATTTAGAATTTCTTATCTCCTGCACTGCTAATAGCCTGCTAGACCTTGCAGGAACCTCTAGTGTGTGATCAAAGTTCAATTTACAGAGCAGGAGATAAAAACATCTAAACTAAGTTAAGATCTGATTGAAAATGAAACAATATATTTTCATGCAGGCTGTGTGAGTCACAAGCAGGGGATGTGTGGCTAGTGCTGCATAAACGGAAACAAAAAGTGATTCACTTGGAAATGCTTATTGGCGTGGAGTTTACTGAGCATGTGCAATAGCATCCCAATGCTTTCCTATGAGAAAGCATTGGATTGACTTAGATCATCAAATTTGACGATCTCAGTCAAGAAGGTGAAGCGGGGTTGTGCCGGCCACGACGACACTGGTGCAACGATGGAAAAAAGACAAGTAAACTACCTTTTTAATTGGAGACAAGGGGGTCTGGTAATCTAAACTCTGTTTTTACATGTGTGTACTCCTGACACTATAGTGTTCTTTTAAGATTATTTTTCCCCCAGCTATGGCATCTATACATATGTACACTAAAACACCCACCCAGTCACTAATCGAATAGCACTAGAATCCACCCCATGGTATTTGTAATGTATTCTCTGTTGTAACCCATATGCTATAGCCAATTCAACTTAAAGGGAAACTGTAATTTCTAAAGATTTTTAAATCTTATATCTCTCTATTCCCTATGCTTAACAAATATCTACTTTTGAAGTCTGAAAAATAAGACTTGATATTGTAATCCACACCATTATACTGACATCTTTTCTGGCACAGAGTGCTTCCATTTTGCTTCCTTGTCCAAAGCTCTGGTATTTGTACCTGCATAGCAAGGATTTAACCCTGCTCACACCAGAACGTGAGAGTGTGCCATTGTATCTGAACGTTATAAAGCCCAAGCTTTGTTTGGCAGAATGTTACAACTAAACATGGTAAAAAATAATGGTTCAGATTGTAAACATATGAGTTCTTACAGACCTAAACTGCGAATTTCCTTTATTTTCCTATATTTTATATAGGACAATTCTGAAATATGTATCGGTGTGCATATACATGAAATATCAGTAAAAAAGAAAAAGAAATTATCATAACTATGACTATGAACTAAAATACTAAAGTGTCTACATCATGGAAAGTGGAATTATGATGGACTTAAACCCTGTTACTTATAGACAAACACAAACATGAAAGCTAGACATGGGGATCTCTTTCGGGGTAAACTGCGATTGAGTTATCCGCTGAAATTCTATTTTCCAAACTATCATGTTAAAATTTTGAGGAAACTGACTAGTGCAATCCGGAACATGCTCGTTTCCATTTATGATTCAGAGCACTGTTCCTGGCAAACTAAACAAGGGATTAAATGGAGAATTGGCTGTTTTTTTTTTAAATTTATTTTGGGGAGCAAACAAGTAGCTTTATTGGGGAGAAAAATCAGTTTTCCAGGTTTTGTTTGTTAAGTGGGATAGGCATAAGGCTATCCTAACTATAAGATAAGGCTAGGGACTAATGAAAGTATTTAGAAAATTGGGCAGACTAGATGGGCCGAATGGTTCTTATCTGCCGTCACATTCTATGTTTCTATGTTTCTAAGTGACTGTAGAAAAATAATCTTTTTTTGGGGGAGTGTGTTACTTAGTAAATAAATAAATAAAAATCTTCTTGCCTATCTACTGTCACTGTGGCACTCACACTAACTTTGAATGGTAGATAACCTGCTTCTTTCATCCTAGTGTGAGACTGATAGTTATGGTTAGTGTAGTGTTCTACTAGTAGCCTGTCACGGGAGTCGTACCCCAACATGCAAGAAAGAGGAAACCCACAAAAGGTGGATCCGAAAGACGTATTACCAAGCCTTAGAATGGCTGGACTTAACGTATTAATACTACAAGAAACAGGGTCAAGATAAATCAAGGACAGGATTACAGAAATACTCAGTCAAGAAAAAGCAGGGTCAGGATACCAGAAATCACAAGTCAAATACAAAGCCAAGGTCAAACACAGGAAATCACAAGGGAATCTCTAATAGCACTTAACGAGGTTCTAACAGAAATCACCACAGGACAATGAGTAAAGGTTAGAATAGGCCTTAAATATGTTCAGAAGAGTTCCCATTGGTCCACGTCATCTCTGCGACCCCAAATAGCATTGGGTCGCCTAGATGACGTGGTCCTTCTACACGGCCAGGCTGCAGCTCTCTTCTTCCAGGCAAGTATTGTCTACCCTGCCTCTTCACTTCCTCTCCCAAGCAAATAACACCTCTGCTTATAGTGATTCCAGCTACAACTTTCCAACTATGTGAAAACAGTGATATATAGATTGAATTTGCCATTTTTGCAATTTCCTAATTTGCATATTGTAATTACACAAATCAATGCATTTTCCAGTTTACACCAACAGAGAGCAATGGAGAACCTGCAAGAATCCCCTTTTAAAGCAAGGATATCTTGTAGCCCCCCCAAGAAGCACCTAAGAGAGAGCTCAGCAAAAGCTTTGTGGGTACTATTGGCCACTTTTACTGAAAAAGTAGAGCAGAGTACCCAAGTATTGTCCCCAATGTCTGGTCTGGTGGTGGGGAATCTAGTGGTGATGATATTGTTGTTACCCCAACCACTACAAACATTTGTTTAAGTCTATCCCAAGAAATGGTACAGAGATACTACAAGAGAAGATTGTGGAGAGGCAACAGTCCACTATTTTCTGCACTTATTGTGTACTCGCCACAGTTCCTCTCTATCTGCAGTAGAATCGCGCCTCATTTAATGAAAACAGTTGTAACATCATCTCCTACCAGTGTCAGAATTAGCTCACCCACTGATATTGTTATTAACGACTCCACCTCTCTTTTCACACTCATTAGTCAGCAAGTGCTAGTGTAGAGGTTAGCGTTGTGACAGCTTCCACTGCCACCAATGCAAATCCACCTGTCTCTTTCTCAGTCACAAGGTGAAGAGTTGAGTTCCAGAAGGGTGAATTGCAAAGTATGTATGGTGCAGCAAGTTAGTGAGTAGAGGGAGAATAAAGGGTCATGTCAATAGTGCTGGCTTGACCCAAAACCTGTAAACATCTGTTTTTGAGAAACTTCAATGATTACTTTGCAGAACTAAGACTGCCTCCATTGGCTGTCTATCAGACAGCAATAGAGGCGCTTCCTGGATTATAACGAAGGGACATCCTTACGCTTTGCATGAGGACATCCAGCGTCAGTAAAATCCCAATAGGAATGCATTGATTCAATGGTTTCCTTTAGGAGGGCCTAATGCGCTCGCTTCGCATTATCCGCCTGTCAGATTACATTGGAGGAGGCAGAGCGCAGATCCAGCACCGAGGAACATCGGCACTGAAATTGTGTAAGTTACTAATTTTTTTTTTTTTTTTACCCTTTATGTGCCAGATTGGGGGGCCGTGGGCAGGGGGCAACAGAAAGCCCTATAGTGTTAGGAATTCAGATTTGTATTCCTAACACTATAGAATCCCTTAACTGTTACAGGGCTTCTGAACTAACAACAAAAGGGCTTTTCAGCACACAAC